GTGTAATTCAGGACTTGACAAGAAAATCTCATAACTTTAACAAGTAGATTAATAACTTGAGTTTCTGTTTACATTTACCTCCGACATGAAGGTCATCTATATGTGACATAAACTGACTGTAATGGAAAAAGATTCTCATTTCTCTGTCACAGCACTGAATAAATCCATAGGAATGCTGCATAGAAAATAACAACAAAAACGTTAGTCTAAAACCRAGTTTTATCTTGACAATGCTCYRTTAAACAACCTACCAACATCTTCTCCACTATGCCTGTTTCTCTTTCGCCTATWTCTGAATCTCTCTCGCTATAAAGAAAACAAACTTCATAAGTTCCTAAATTAGTACACATAATTTATAGATAATATTTGAACTGAATCATCAGCAATATCAAACAGTTGTATGCACTCATTTTTCATTTAATGAAATATTTTATGCAGCTCTTGCTAATGACCCATGTCATGTCTGAAACATTTTGTCTCTGATTTTCTCATATTTGCATAAACATTTACTTTTCCTTTGATATTCTATGTACAACAACATTTGCGATCCTTGGAAAATTTGCTCACAGTGYCTTGTTACCTTGGTGATCTATAGAAATTGCTCTGTGAATGACTTCTTGATTTTGGYGAGTTGTACATACTGCGATGGTTGTTRTAGTCATCATAAGTTTTACTGCGGTCCCGCCTTTCATTATAATTATAATTGTAGCTCTGCAGGAGAAAGAATGGAGGAGCTATTTCAAAACATTCAATTAGGTTAAATATAAAAAGTTCTCTGTAGTAAGATTCTTTTGCACTGATGCAAGATGTGYGGTTTACTTGCAGTTCCTAACACATGAATTTTTCATGTAATCAATCTCACCTTCCAACTAGCTTCAGTCGCCATGGTGACGATCAAACACTTTATACACTTCTAATGCTTTGAAAATGAAAATATATAAAATCCCCTAAATTTGATATAGTCGGTAAATATATGAAACACTCTGGACCAATTATTCACTGTCAGCTAGTGGTAATCTCTTGGACTAATGCATTGTAGATATCCCAACTAGCTCCAAAATATTCCAAATAACCTATGAGATAAAAGAAAAAAAAGATGAGAAGATGAGCTGATTTGTTAACTTTTTGTTTCAAAAGGCTAATTCAGGTCACAACTCCAAAGAACATCACTCGTTATTGGTTGGCTCAGCCCAAAGTGAAACTAATGGACAAAATATAACAATGGAGCCTATTGTTCTGGCCAGCCAATCACAATGACTTTTCTTAGGAGCTTTGTGACTAGAAAAAAAGGTCAAAGGAGAAATAACCTTCCAAGRTTGTTGTATAAAATACTGTCATTTGAAGAAATTATTCACTGATATAAATATATAATTCAAYTTAAGCAGGGTAGTTTGTATTACAAATTCCATCCTTTAATTTGTGAGAAACTGCAATTTATGCCWCAATACTGTAACTTTGAAACAAAATAMTGAAATTGTCCAAATGATTTATGATCTGTTTTTGCGAGAAAAGAGTGRAAATCACATGACATTACCCATGATGCACTGGATATGACGATATATTATGCTAGAGGTCAGAATTTTTGCAAATGACAGTAATGATACAGTATAATACAGTAATAATGTAAAATTCACGTTAAACTACTTACAAATACTAATATTTCCAATAACGCTGTATTTTGCAGTTATTTTCAGATAAGATTACAATTTTAATGGTGAAATATATTGAATTGAAATGGCTCCAGTGGACTTTATCATCTTGTCTTTTCATGCTTGTATGATTTCCTGTATAATAACAATCAGACTGGTTAATAATGAACATTAAGAAATGAAAATGGGGATGATTCTTCACTAAGACCTTTGAATTACAATTTTTTAGTTGTTAATAGTACAACCCTTGATGTGTAGACTTATTATTAGATTTGATACCTATCATGAATTTTCTTTTGGTGATTACGATTTTGAAAATAACATGCTAACTAGTTTACCAAAGCCTTCAATGGGTTACAAWTTGGGATAAAAGGAYATRTGGGCTKYATATCTGCAGTGATGGTTAATGAACTATGATGAAGGTCAAGTACTACTGCAAGTATATTGGTGTCCAAGACTAGACAAAAGTGACAACAAGGTACATGTAAAGCTCTGTTATCACTACAAAACAAGCATAAATATTATACATGTATAGGAGAAACAAAGAAAAAATATGATTTTAGTATATGACTAAACATATTAGTACTTCAGACAAAAGAGCAGGAAAACCCCACTTTTGCCTTCTAAACACAAWCAGAAGAATCACTTTCCTAATATATATTTGCTTATGCCTATGTCAAGCATGAACCAGTGTTTTTTAACCACCACTTAGAAACATAACAATCTTATTRTACTTCAAGACAACTTATTTCAGACTTTGAATATAAACAATTGTGATTGATAATTAGAGATGACAAAAGTCCCCACTTCAAAATGTGAATGTGTTCTAGAACTCATATCATCGAAATTGCTGCAACTTATGAAAATATTTTTTCTATTCAATTGTAATAAATGATTCGAGATTTAACTCAAATGAAGAAATTGTCATTTATCAATAACAAAATAACTTCATTTATAGTTTATGACTCACATTAATTTTCATGAAAACTGTCTCAGCTAATAGTTTAAAACTAAAGTGTTTTATTGTCGACTGTTATGTAGGAACCATTGGAAAAAATTAAAAATACATTATCAAAATGATTAAAAATATTCAATATGTTGAGTAAATATAAGATTGAGTTAGTTGTGATTAGAAATTTTGTTAAGCAAAGTAAAAGTAAAAATTTCTCCTCGAACTTAAGCAAGCTGAAACTTTAACTGACCGAGTATTTTACCGAAATATTGGCCATCTAAGACCAGTCTATTGTCTTCTGAAATTTCTTCAATAACTCTCAATAATGCTCATAAAAATACGGCATATTTCAATAAACGTGAAATGTTCATTACAACTTGTTTCTTTCCGGCACAACACAAAGAAATTGAACACCAAAGACAAAATGGCCGCTAACGAATGTTCCCCAAGAAAATAAATTACGCTCAAGATTCATGAAGAAACCTTTCTCAACTGATCAAACAGCTTGAGTTATCTAACATAACAGGGCAACTCTTAAGCCATGACAAACATCAGTTTATATTTCCAAAAGAAGAACTCAACACACCACACTTTTTTCACCCGACCTTCAGGTCGTCAATCTTCTAAAATCAAGCTTTATCCTCTAAAAAGGCATATTTAACAGCCCAGAGGTACAAAAAAAGGTGTTTATAAACATTAYTATGTAATTTGGAAGGATTTTTCTTACCGCCTTGAAGTGAAAAGCGCTTTCAACGAAGCGCTCTTGTCGACTTGTTGCCACCGAGCCGCCATGTTATCGGATAATAACATAGCTTATCACGTGACTAGAAAATAACCACGTGCGCATTAGTGTCCTATCCAATTACTTTCTATCATCACTCCGACTAAATATTGGGATGCATATTTCTTCAGTCACACGATGAATATATATTCTTTTTTAGAATGAGATTGTTGGAATATGRGTGAGTTTCTAGGGAGCAATATAAGGTCTAGTGGGGTAAGGATATGCTCAATGAACCCCACCCATTTGGCCTAGAGATTGCCAGAAGGGAGAAAAGCCTTATAGCCAGTGAATAAGTAATTTCTATAAGGCTGTGGCTGATCTGGAATTTCTTCAGAATTTCTTYGCTGGTTTCATGAAGAGTTGGTCGCACCATGATACCACAACAACGGACACAAAATAAAGTATTAAAAATCTAGGATCGAATCTAGGAGAAATTGCCGGTTCATGGACTTCATGGTCCTGGGCATTTTAGAAGTGGGTGCACATCCCTGCAGGAAACAGCAAAGACACAGCTGAGAGGAGAAAGGAAAGCAAACAGCAATACATCCACGTTTGCTATGTTGCTAATACCCATCAAATCACAACGATGTAACATAAAAATGTTTAATCTTTTTGTAAAAAGGTTTTTGAATCAATATAATTATCACTGAAAAGCTGGTCTATCAGCAGGTCTAGCATAGTAGCTTCATAAAAAAATGTCATTGAAGTCTACATCTGCACTCAAGATGCAACTCATATTATTTCAGAAAATATCAATGTTGGTATGATAAAAACATGCAGATTCTAATTTCAATTCATAGAAAGCAAAATTCTTAATTACAAGGTTGTTTATACACATGTTATGTCAAATCCTTCCAGTCAAAAGTTTGTTTGTTTTTATTTCATTTACTATTTATGCTTCAACTTGTTCTCTGGAGATATCAATGACATTTCATTATGTTGCTTCAATTTTTTTACTTACATAGTTCATTCTGGAACCACAGAAACATAACTGGTGCCAACATTTTTTTTTCAATGACTATTAATATTCTAAGTCTCCTGGCAGGCAACTACCTTCAGCATAGCTRACTGCATGGTTTCATGCTTGTGTTTTAACTTATGAAATTGCAAAGTTAAAACACTACTTGATAGAGACATTTTCACTGCCCTGTCTTGATTACCTAGAGGTATGTTTTCCTTTCTAAGTACAGAATGCAAATCAAACCTCACRCAGTCAGCTTAATTTGCTTGTATTCTACACTCACCAACGAAAAATGCATTGTTTAAGTACAACACCAATGCATTAATCTATAATACAATACTGTCATTTTTATCTTAGAATAATATATCAATATGAGAGAATTGAGTTGTATACCAAATTCTTATATTTGATGAATGAAAATCCCTAAACCTATGGACTCCTTGGTAAATCCYTTCATGAAACACAGGCTGCCATTCATGTGTAACCTCTAGTCTACAGCATCAGGCAACAACATGCATGAGARAAGTTGCCATATTAAAAGCACTGTGTAGTGTCTTCAGTCACATCTCATCATAGTATGTACATTACAGATCCAATTCTCTCATATCAATACCAACTACTAAATAATCAGTTCAATTTAAGCATATATATTAATAAGCTRACAACTCATTCCTTGTTAGGATCTTTCCATCTCTAGATGTCTAGACAGTCTTAAATTTATAATCTATACATACAAATAGCCCAACAACTTGTTGACAGTTTATTAAGTCAATTAGCTGTCAAGACTACCTAGATTGATTAGAAAATACTAAGGAAACATTTAGTTTGTTCAAAATTTTATAACTAAAAACATAATACTATTGTTCATTATTTCACAATATTAAAATAATTGCAGCAACACAAAGCATAATATATAACTGAATATTCAGTTGGTTTAAAAGCAAAATTTCTTTCCATGTGCCACTATGTTCCACCTTTCTGAGTTCCTTCACCTTATCATTTCATGTAATATTTTCAGGCAATATTGATTATTTTAGGGGCAAAACATTGCCAGAGGGTGGTCTTGAACAATATTACTACATATATCTGCTTCTCATTAAACAAAATCACTTCATTACCTAACCAAAATAATTATTAAATTGCTCTGAAAAGCACCGATRKGTTACTAATGGCATTATTGCTCTGKGATTAATTGAATTTGCATTTACTTAATCATGCACTGATTAATAGAGCGGATTTCGTATGAGTGGGAAACGGACGGTACTGTACTGTGRCCGTAATCGTACTGTAACCAAATTCTAGTGCCCCATTGATTCACCAAAATTCTGCAGGCCAGGTTYGGTAACTGTGCGGTAACGGTGTCCCACTCATACGAAATCYGCTCTAAGCGAGGTATACAGTTACAGATTCTGTRCAGTAAGTATAGCACCGCAACATTATTTCCTTGATTTAGCCAGCATATATAAAATTTGAAAAGCATTCATAGAACACAACATAATAGATAATGTAATTCTCAACATGTGGTAGACAATAGGTTAAGTTATTAAAATCCTGTTAAACGATGAAATGTCCAAGCACCAGTAATATACATTTGTATATCAGAATAGCACAATATGGAAAACGAACAGCAATGATAATATAGGAAATTATTTCAAATCATTGAATTATCAAAGATAGTAGTTTCCCATGAACTTAACATTMTTGCTTTTATACAAATACAGTTGACCAATCTGATGTGTTTCACAATCTCAAAGCCTCCTCAAATCAGGCATCACACACATTTTAACAGAAAACAATGCAATTCAAGGTAATGCCTACAYAGCTGAGAAKGTTCATTCATTCGAATTTGATATCCAGTATAAGTAGGTAGTCAGTCATTCCACCATCACAAACTGACTGAATAGTCTGCAATTGCAATAACTAACTAATATACTACTTAAAAGTCCTGAGATGCAAAACAGGAGTAATGTCAATAGTCCATTTCACATGATTGAATTGCACACCATCTGAGATTTGTTTAGGTGCTACATGTATAAGGT